CTTATTTAATTGAATAGGTACTTTGCCCCATTTTCAAACAACCTCAGGTGGTAGGTGTAATGACATGCCAATACTATAACCTTTAACTTTTAGATTCCTATTAAATCAGACGTGTTTTACTTATGCATGTGTGAGAGTTTTAATTTCTTTATGATGTGTATGTGTGTGTGTGCAGCAAGGAAGGGGACTATGCTGCCACTCTTTGATACAAGGATGTATTAACACCTCACACTAAACCACTCAGCACCTAACCCATGATGGGTTCATTGTTTGTAGACTAATCCACAATGGTTCCAACAGCTGATCAGCTTCTCTGAGGTTTGCAGTGACTTGTTTCCAGTTCACTCCTCCCACCAATTTCCAGCATGTATCCCAGAAGCCTTTGCAGAGAAAGTCAGCATCCCACGATGCATTGCTCCCTTGCTGTGTCAGCAGCCTATTTGCTATTGGTCTGCTGAGTGTTCCTGGTATGGCTCACCTTTGCTGGACTCGGACAGAAAATCTTCCAATCCCTATTTGCCCTGGGCAGATTGATAGATGCCTGTCCTTGTTTTTCAAATTGTTGTAAACCTTAACATTCATTTTGGTGGGTTTTTTAAATCTTGCCCTTGCTTCATCTGTGCGCAACACAAGGTTTCCTTGCCTCCCTGAGAAGCGGATTTCATTCATTGCCCCTCCTTTATGACCCCATAAAAGTGAATTCCACCCCCCCCGGCACCCAGAGAAGGCCTTTGAGTTCTGGTTCTCTCCTTGTTCCCACCCTCATGCTTTCCTTTAGCAAGCAAATCATGTTTTACTGCTGCCTCTGGCTCTTCCCCCCACAATCAAAGCTGGTCTCTGAAGCATGATAAGCCATTTTACCTAAACCTCCCTCTTCATTCCCACTTCCAGCCCAATACTATCAGCCTGTTTTCCCTACAGACACCATTCTCCATCTCCATGATGGAGCCGTTTCTTAGTCTTTATATGTGTCGTTAGTTATACACAGACATGGTTGTGCAACTCCTTAAAAATCTTTATAATGAAATCATGATTAGTTGGATATTATGCAGACAATTCTTGGCACCTGGAGCAGTCCTGGCTCAACTAAGTTGCATGAGCTTAGTTAGGCTCTGTGAGGAGGCTGCACTTTACTGACTATAGGCTTTGCTCTCGGGGGAGTGCTACCTAAAGCAATACTGATGGAGTGAGTGGTACAGAAATGAGAATTTCCTACAAAGTACAAGAATCAAGTATGAACACATTTGAAAAGTGAGGTATTAATAGACAAATGGGTGGGTCATATGTGGGGAATGCTAACAGGTGAGTGATTGGGGGCAGAACTTGCCAAGGATTTACTTATGGGGAAAGGATGCTTATGTGGGTATGACTACTATGACTTCAGGTAGATTTTGGGGGGAAAGGGGAGGCTTACCTACTGCATTCCAGCAAGCAGAACAGTTGCAGGTAGAATAACTAATTCTGCTACTCTAAGCCCTTTATATGTACAGTGCAGTCCCTATGCATGATACGCACACAGGAAGTTGTTCCAGATCTGCTCAGCAATACTTGTGTGGATGTTATATTCTTCACGCTGGGTCACTGTTTCAAATGGTAGGTCAATTGTCAAAGAACCTGGTGGCCATCTGGTAGAAGCACATAGGACAGGGATGGCCAAACTGAGGTTCAGGAGCTGCATGTGGCTCTTTAAGTCTATTTTGCAGCTTGCCACGCACCACCATGGGCACCCGTGGGCGGCCACTTGCCGTTCTCTGCCTATTGCTGCAGCCCACGGGCGCCTGCTTGCTGCTCACCACCTGCAACTGCCACCTGCAGGCATCCACATGCAGCTCTCAAACATCTCACGTTTACTTACGTGGCTCTTCACAGAGCAAGTCTGGCCACCCCAGACACATGTCCAAGATTCATAAATGTGCAGGAGAAGCCTCATACTAACACGTGCTGTGAAAACTGGGGAAAACCTTCCTGTGTCTGGTGCTCTGAAGATATTCCTGTCCCTCTGGGCTGATCCAAAGGTCAGTGAATGTGCCGGGTTCGGCTTCAGGCCAGACTCATGCCTGAACTCTCTGTGGCAGTGTGCCCCCTCTGCTTCAGCCCCGGTCCCAGATGTGCCCTCTCTTGCAGTGCATAAGGCTGAAGCCTCGGAGGTTTGTGTTAACTGCTCCTTACACTAACCAGTGAGATTATTCAAGTCAGAGTGGGCAGCCTGCAGCCCACAGGCCTCACGCAGCCCTCGCTGCTACTGTAGTGCAACCCGTCCCCAGCCGGCTTTTGCACTGCCAGAATGTGCAGCAATAGCAACAACAACCCTTTGCTGCAGATTTTCAGCCGTAATCTACTATGGAAGTCAAAACCATCCAAATCGCGCGTGTTTTCAAGCAAGATAAGACCGTTTTAGTTCTCCGTTGCTCTCTGTGAAAGGTTTTTGGCAAGAGATTGGGGTTGCTTTCCAATGAAGCCTTTTGCTTTGTACTGGCCCTGGCTCAAATACTGAATTTTGTAAGTGGTCCAAGTGGTGTGGTATTCCACTTGTAGCCCATGTGTGCTCTCCATCATTGCTGTCATCTTTTTTCTCATCAGAAGAGGAGAAAAGGATAGAATTGATGCATAGTTCCTGTTGTTAGGAGCCCTCTGTTGGGAAGCATACTTAGGATCAGTCAGATCCCTAGTCTGGTGCTGGTCAGGTCAATTTGGAAAGATTTGGGAGATGTCTGAATTGAAGCGGAGCAGAATGAATCCAGTCTGAACCCTTTTGAAGATTAGTTAGTAATTCAGAGGGCCACAGAGACATGGAGAATATGTAGCAGTTGGTATACAACATAGTTAAGAAGCTCACAAAGTTTTTAAAGAATGGAAGCAGTGTATTTTATGATGAAGAAGTCCTCAGATTGGGAGGGGGAATTGATTGCTTCCAACTTACCCCAGTGTTTGACAATTTACATCTATCCCGAATAATTTCAGGTTTCTTAGCCAGTACCATCTGAATATCATATGTCCTTTTCATAACTTTTTCCCACCTAAAATTTCAGGATTGGTGCATACTGTTCTGGAAATTTCCAAACTGTAAAGCTTCAGCTATTGTGTGGTACAGAGATGATGAAGATGAGGAGGAGGGGGAGAGGTGGCTCCTGTATAAAACCCCTGTATTTATTCATCTGAAACTTGGCAGAACTGTTTTGTTATATTGTATAAAATTGATCATCAGAGATGAAATAAAAATTTCCAATTAAATTTGGCAGGCTTCATCCACTCATGAAGGGTTACTATGCCTGCAAATTTCATCCAGTTCTGTCAATCAAAAGGTGATATCTGCTTGTCAGTTTCTAATGATAAACAATGGGGAGGCACAAAGCTTTAGCTTTTCCAAATTGAGATTTCAGTTTGGACCCAGTGACAAGTCACGTTTCTACAGTTTGGTCCAAGGTGAATCGGCCTGTTTTCTTATTCTGTCTTTTTCTGAAATTGCCAGTTTGGGGTCCAACCCAAACATTGCAGTCAGCGCACACCCCTGCTGGTAACCTATTAAGGCTATGTATTGTTTATATATTATGTGGGACTTGATAGAGTAACATAACAAGAAAATAGGTCCTGTGCTAGGAGCTGACAGTACAAATGCAACAGAGTAGGAGACAAGGAGATTGGCCAGGGCGACAAGGGAGACATCTAAATAAATGCAGCTAACAATTTGGAAAGATTTGAGGATGTCTGAATTGAAGAGAGCAGATTGAATCCAGAACTCCCAAATCTTTCCAAACTGAGGCTTTGCTACAGTTTAACATGGCTCGGTTCGAATACACTATTGGAAGGCACTAATTCTCAATTTTAGGTTGGCTTTGGATGTTCCCTAGTTCTAGGAGTTCCCTAGAATAGAGGAAGCATGAATGATGCTTCCTGATTCACACCTCAGAGTCTCATTTCTAGGAGACAGCACACAGTGTGTTCATGCATCATGAGAACATGCATTTCACCATGCAAATACAAAACCACCCAAAGCACAGGAAAGGAAGGAGGGGGTTTATTTAATTCATGATTTTATGGAGTTTGTTAAAGTTGAATGTGTTAGTGTAAGTGTTGTGTATACCATCTGGAATCCCATATAGATGGAAGGCAGTTTATAAATTGTATACTTACTTTATAATTATTCACCCATTTTCTTCTAGGGTGTTGTTGCTGCTGCTGCTGTTGTTAATTTCATTTCTATACCACCAATAGCCAAAGTTTTCTGAGCAGATCACAGCAATTCATAAAATACAGCACAAATTCAATATAAAAAATTAAAACAATTTCAGCAACTAGATTAATTTTAGTAGTAGCTACACCTGTTAAAACAATTGACATGTCCCATCATATCTCATTGAATGCCTGGGAGAGAAGGGCAGTCTTAAGCTGGTGGCAAAAAGATGATATTATTGGCCTAGGCAGGCCTCAGTGTGGATACTATTGGGGAGCTGCAACTGTGAAGTCTCTCTTCCTTGTTCCCATCCTCCAAGCCCTTGAAGAAAGGCTTCAGATGTTGATTATAGTGTCCAGGTAGATACAGCCTTGACTATAAAAAAACGTTACAATGTTGGTCAGAATCATAGTGTGTGTTCAAAAGTAATTAAAATTGGGTTCTTTTTCTCAAGTAAAACCCTTTTACAAATTGGAATAGTAACTTTTACCTTCAATGATTGCTGTAAGGACAAAGACCCATACAAGATTTTTGCATGTTAAAAATGTGATATACATAAAGCGACATACATTTTTAATGTATTGTGAAACATTTATTTGTTTGTTTGTTTGTTTATTTAGAAAATTTCTATGCCGTCCCATTCGCCGAAGCCTCAGGGTGGCTCACAAAACATCAGCATTTCAAATCTTTGTGGGCTTTATTTGTATTTGTTAATGAAATATTTTGGTCAAAGAATTTCAAGACTACTTCCACATGCCATATACCTTTGGATTAAAACTTCTAGGCATGTATTGCCCAGCACTGAACTACATACCTTTTCTTTTCCCAGCTTACACCAATCTTTATCTCAAGAAGTTAATCTTAAGGACCAGTTCAACTCTACCCTTGCTACATATGAAAAAGCGCTGAAAAACAGAGGGGATGTTGTGTCTATGCTGCTACTTCAAAACGAAGAGCTAGCAACTCAGCTTCAACAAATGGCAGATGAAAAAGCAAACACAGAGTCAAAGCTTCAGCAAGCCTTAGAGGCTTCACAAGAGACCAATGAGAAACTTCAGAAGTAAGTTTGTTGCCTGTCTTTTTGAACAATACCACTTGTCGACTAAATGGGTTGTTTTAGTCCTCTTCCTGTGATGTAGAAGGCTGAAATAAAAAGATAGAAATCCTTAAACTTTTTTTTTTAAGTGGGTCCACTGTTGGTTAAACAATTCATCAGACTTAATTAGCAAACCCATTCCACTCTAAGAACCAAACTGCAGGGGGGTTTGCCTGCCTAAACCAATACACTGCATAGTGTCAGCATCCGCAGGAAGGAAGGAGTCCTTCTAATTTAGTGTGTTGGTTTGGGTTCATCCTTTGAAAAAGAAAATGTTAATGGTTGCTTCACATTTTACAGATTCAGAGTGCTTGGTCTATGCAAGGCCCTGCGGCAGCGCCCAGCCATGGTGGGGACAGGATGGAGGCTTCTGTTGCAGCCCAGTTTGTCCATTTAATAAACTTTTGACTAGGTACCTCTCAGCCCATCTAGCTGACTTAGCTGGCAGCTGGCACTGACGGAGATGGGGATGCTCATGGATTAGGTGGATCCAAGCCTTTCCTTTTCCCCTGCCTTGCCCCACTGGAATATCCCTTCTCAACTTCCCCAATCTCCCCTGAAGATGCTGTTGCATTCCCACGAAAGCAGCTGCTGCAGTACTTTCTGTGGTTGTTTGAAAGGATGAGGAAGCAGAAAAATTCTGCCCCTGAGGTCACTATTGTATCTATAGCTGTCAGAGAAGCCGAAGGATTGCTGTGCTAATTAGCCCTCTAACCACTGAAGCATGGGCAACCTTTGCTTTGAACTTGTGAATGCTGAAAGGCCTGGAATCCAGCATTTCCCAGTTAACACCTTCAGTGGTGTCAGCAAGCAGTGAGATGTCAGTAGGTGCACATGTGTATCCTGGATGCAACACTCCTTTGGCTGTATATCAAACATGAGAAAAGTGTAATACTGTATGAAATAAATGTATAATCTTTGAAGGTGGGTAACAGTACAATCCTATGTGTGTCTACTCAGGAGCAAGTCCCACTGAGATCAGTGGAATTTCTAGTTGAGTATACAAGTTTGCAACCTAAACGTAACCATGAGTATTTAGAAGAGGACTTTCCCCATATGTGGCTGCATGAGTTTAAATTCATGGCTTAATGTTCCATCTCATTATATTACAGTATAATTTATCATGCATGCATGCATGCATGCACACATGTGCAGAGAGAGAGAGAGAACATGAAGTTGGATTGATTTCTGTTTTCCTGTTGCCATTAGTTTTTTGCCTTGTTACTTTGCCTTGTTACCCGCACTGTATTTCAACCTGTGCATGTGATTGTGTGCTTGAGTGTGTCCCTTGCTGTAGCCCTATTCAGAGCCATTATGTCTGAACAGGTTCCAGGAACATGTTTTAAAAACTGCATGCAGCAACTGCTCCTTCTCAGTCCCCACTCTTAATGTGATGAGAGGCACAAACCAAAGGGGGCTTTTGCTCCTGCCTGTGTGAATGCTCTGTGAGCAGGTGTCCTGCTTTATCAGTTTCTGATCTTGAAAAGGACTTGCTTGAACGCCAGTACAATCCCCCTTAAGACCTCCTATCTCAACACTGGAGCTTAGAGGTCAGAGATGCTGAGGCAGTGTTGGCACATGTGGCCCTACCCCTCTTGTGGGCCTGGATAAGGCTCACAGCAACCTGTTTTTGAAAACTCCGTATCTGAGGGTTTCGACTTGCTCCTACTAGATAACAGAAGTTTTCCATTATCAGAGGAACAGGGGAGTAAATTATCATTTTACTGTCTGCAATGGTAAATAGCTGTTTTTGTAGGATTCACATTAATTTAAAAATAACAGTATTTAATAAGAGAAATTCACTATTCATGAACTGCTTTGATGGTGGATGAAAGCAGGACTGAATCAAATTGTAAGGCAGAGAGATGTTGTATTCCACAGGAATGGGCATGTGGTTGGACTGCAACTCCCTTCAACCTCAGCTAGTAGGTGTTATGGGAATTGAAGTATAAGGCATTTGGAGGGTGCCAGCTTGGGAGAAGCAATTATATAATGGCAAGTATATAGTATCAGTTAAGAGAGAATGTGGGACCTCTTGTATGTGTGCATGTTTTTAGAGCCAAACCAACTGACGCCTGATGATTAATGGTGGAAAAGTCTTGTGCCTTCCAGCAGTTGTTCTGTAGTAGCCAGTGGCCATTGCCAGAAGGTTCCAGATGAAATTAAAATCAGCAAATGTACCTCTCTATTTTTGTCTTGGAGGACTTAAGTTCAAGACAAGGCATTCAGTCCCCCTGGAAGAGAAGTTTACACCCAAGACAATCTGTTTACTAGAATTCTGAGATCTGGTTCAAAGTCAGGTTTTGATGAGCTGCATTGCAATACAGACCAAAGGAATACAAAGGTTTGACTATATGGACACCATAATTCTTCGGTGTCATGAGAAAAGATTTGGAGAAGGGCGTTAAGGAAGTTTACCCAAATTTCACAATTTCAGTCTGTACAGTTTTGAACGACTGAAAAGCCCTGGCTCTGTGTGAAGATCAACTGACAAATCATCCTTCATTGCTGTGATTTTGCACAGGAACTCAGATTTTGCAGTTTATAATCTTGAATTTGAACATAATAGAAATAATTCATTTGAGGCATGCCAGTTAGTTTCAGATGAATTTCAGATGCAGCTTCCACTGATGTTCAGCAACAGGGGCTGTTGATTTCTGGTTCAATGCAAAACGAGACCGACACACTAGTGGCCCCGGTGCACCTACAGTAAGTGGTCTGGTTTCCCTGTGCGCCTTCTATAGTCTTCCTGCTGCGTGGCGGCAGCAGAAAAGTTCTGCTCCAGCTGTGCATTGTCCTGCTGCAGCCTTCTTTCTGTGGCCACCAGGGATCCCTGCCTTTCCACCAAGGGAATCCTGGCAACCCGCAAGGTCATATTGTGTGAAACTCACTTTGCCAGGTAATCATTATACTCTTAAGGTCTAGAACTCAGCCTGGAAATCTATGATTTGTTCCTTTTCTATACAAGAGTAACATCTTCCCTTCTTCATCATGGTCTCTGTGCATCACACATGTGAGGCTGCACCTGTGCAGCACCTGTGTTCGGGAAGATTCTCTCAGCATTAGTAGTTTTGGCGGGAAGTCCATCCTCTCCCCCAGTATAAATGGGTGGAGTTCCCGTGCTTTTGCCAGTCTGCTTTCGACCACTGTTCCTCTTCTCTTGTCCTCTCTCCTCGGTGCAGTGGGCCGGTATTTGGAAGTGCACTCAGTATGGGGCAAAAATGCCTTCCATTTTTTGTGTCTGTTCTGCCTGGGCGAAGGCCACCGGGTGGACAAGTGCTTCCATTGCCTGGCTTTTACCAAGCAGGCATGAAAATATTGGGAGAACTGACTGAAAAAAGAGTTGTGGGACAGAGCGCTGGTGATGATGACAGAGGTCACGGCAGCAAAATTAGCCAGTCTCTCTGGCTTGGGTCCGATAATCCCTTCCGCTGGGCCTGTGAGAAAATTGTCAGAGGGTGAGGTAATAATTTATCTATTGCCTTGCTGTGGCTGTGTTAATAAAGATTGCTGGCTTGTTTTCCCCATCTGAGATGGCTGGACTTATTTCTGGCAGCATTTGATAAATGATACTTAGATCCCTTCTAAGGCCAGGTTCTGGGATGGAAACAGCCTTGGTCACCCTGAATGGATGACTTATGCCAGGGGGAAGTGCAACTCTGTTGGTTCTTCTGGACTAATCAGTAGTTTTTTATACCATAGACCAGGGGTGTCCAGACTTGCTCAACAGAAGAGTCACATATGGTAACTGTCAGATGCTTGAGAGGCACAAATAGGCACCCACAAAATAAACTCCAAGAGCAACACATGGTTCCTGAGCCTTGGTTTGGTCAGCCCTGCCATACACTATGGTATTCTTCTTCATCATTTACCATCATCCTTCATCAGTCATCATTCCAAATGGGCTTGGGAAGCATGGTTTTAAAATGGTTCTGGTCTTTCCTGGAGAAATGGTTTTAAAAGGAAATGCTGGGAGGCTTCTACGCCACCATTAGACTGTAAGATGCTACAGGGTTGAATTTGTCTACCATGCTTTTTAACAACTACTAGGGGCAACTGCTTTTGGGGAGTCATCCAGGGGTTGGGGCAGAGGTGCCATCAGTATGCAGATGTTAGTCAGCTCTACACATTCCATGGAATGTTTGAAATTCATAAACCAGTACCTGTTTGGGCATGAATGAGTTGAAGAAGTTGAAACTTAATCAGCACAGGATGAAAGCTCAGTGAATTGGAAAACCAACTATTCTGGGTGGAGGTTTATAACAAGTCTTAGATTGGGTTGCATTCTCCCTTTAAAAAAAATCAGGTGTGTACTCTGGGAGTCTGCCCAGAGTTTGGGCTCAATGAGGTAGTCCAAGGGCTGCAGTGTCTATTTTACCAGCTTAGGTTGGCATGCTGAATATGGCCCTCTGGAAGTGACAGACCTTGCCTCAGTTACCCCTGCACTGGTGACATGCTGGCTAGACTGCTGTCCTGAGTTGTTTATGAAGCCTTTGAAGTTGATCTGGAAGCTTCAGCTGGTGCAGAATGTGGCTGCTCAAGCCTTGGTGGCAGTGAGATGGACCAGTCATATTGCATGAGCTGTATTGCTTAGTGGTGTGTTTCCAGCCCCATGTAAATAGGTGGTTTTGACCTTTAAAGCCTGAAATGGCTTCATTTTTCTTGAAGGGATGTTTTGGCCTATATCTGCCTTCCCAGACTTTAAGGTCAGCAAGAGAGGCCTTCTCGTTTGCCCTCCTGTGAGGTAAGTTAGATGGATGAATACATGACAGGTTTTTCACAGGTTTCACAGGTTTTTCACAGTCCCAGAACTTGGCAATGACTTGTGATGAAGGATTTGCCAGATCCCATCACTGCAGACTTTTAGGAAAGCTGTGAAAATCTATTAATTTACCCTGTCCTTCCTCCAACTATGTTTTATCAGATTGGGCTGTAACTGCAGTTCCACTTGTTCAGTTTCATTT